GATGTCGCCTAAAAGCTAAGAAAGCCACCATATTTCCGGCCCTTGGGAAAAGCGGCCCCTGTGGTTCAAAGAATGTGGAGGAAATCCCATTTCTATTTCTCTCTTATGACTCCTGGCTTTGCCCCAGGGGCGGCCTCAGGACAGAACTGCATGCAGCAATGTGGTGACCAAAACTCCAAGAGAAACCCCATTTTTCTTGCTAGAAGACTTGGAGGGCAGGGGCCTCTGAGAAAATACGTGTGTGGGGAACCCTGGAGAGGAGAGAACTGGTGAAGGGGATCCCTCTACTTCTGTGTATAAAGCTGTATAACTCCCAGGCTCATCTCTGAACTGCATACGTGCAGGAGACACCCAAAGCAGCTTAGCAAAGACTTTGAAAACTGAACCAAAATCAAAACCACAGAAGACAAGATAGAACCTGTGATCTGAACCTAGCCAGAGTGATTGCCTACTAAAGCAAACAAACAAACAAATCAACATTCTCTATAGGATTTGAATACGACTCAGAGTCTCAACAACATGATATTAAAAACTTTTAGAATATAATCTAAAATTGCTTGACATACAAATCACCTAGAAAATGTGACCCATTCTCAGGAGAGCAGACAATCAAGATGCCAATCCTGAGCTATTGGAATTATCAGTTATAATAACTGAAGTTATTATATAATAGGAGTTATAATAACTATAATCTATGAGGTAAAGGTAACACACTTGAATTAAATTTAAGGATAGAAGTTCTCAGCAGACAAATAAAAATTTTAAAAAGAACCAAGTAGATATTTTAGGACTGAAAAACACAATATCTGTAATAAGAAATTCAGTAGATGAGCTAAAGAGCAGAATGGAGATGACAGAGGAAAAGAGTCAGTTAACATGAAGACAGAACAATAGAAACGATCTGGTATAAAGAACAGAAAGAAAATTGCAAAAAAAAAATTGAACAGAACTTCAGGGACACGTGGAATAACATCAAAAGGTCTAACATGTGTGTCACTGGGGTCTCAGAAGGAGAGGGGAAAATAATCAGTGCAGAAAAAATTATTTGAAAAGTAATGGCCACAGATCCACACAATTTGGTGAAAGACATAAATTTCTAGATTCAAGAAGCTCAGCAAAGCCAAAAGAGGATAAACTCAAAAAACAAACAGAAAAAAAAAAAAAAGTGTGCCAGACACATCATAATCAAACTGCTGAGAACTAAAGATAGAGAAACAAATCTTGACAGCAGTTAGTGAAAAATGACACTTTACATACGAAACAATAAATCAAATGACCACAAAGACTACATTAGAAATGGAACTAATAATGGTTATATGGGAATAAATAAATGCTATGTAAAGTGCTTAGCAGATAAAAGACACAAATGGCAGAGGTATCATTAGTCTAATTGTGATTCCTCTACTACATCTCAACACAACGTAATTATTTTCCATTCTGTTTCTTCAACCTTCGCATGGTTTCCCCTGTGTGGATGTGATCCCGAGAACTGAATGCAAATGTACTTTTGATATACCCCAGATCTTTTGCTCTTGTTGAAATGAGTCGCTTCTAATTCATGTCGTGTTTTTTTTTTTTTTTGCGGTTCGCGGGCCTCCCACTGTTGTGGCCTCTCCCGTTGCGGAGCACAGGCTCCGGACGCGCAGGCTCAGCGGCCATGGCTCATGGGCCCAGCCGCTCCGTGGCATGTGGGATCTTCCCGGACCGGGGCACGAACCCGTGTCCCCTGCATCGGCAGGCGGACTCTCAACCACTGCGCCACCTGGGAAGCCCCATGTCGTGTTTTTGAACGAGATTTTAAAAATTCTGTAAATCTCCTCAGTTACTACATAGGTAAAATAATGCATCTTTTACGGTCTTGGGATATTATGAAGATCAAATGAGACACAGAAAAAAATATAAAAATTCCTGTGACCAGCTAAACCACTGAAAGTCATATATTTCAGAAATAGTAGCAGGTTGGAAGTTCTGAAAGTCTAATTCTTTACACCAATCTCATGAGAAACTATTTTAGAGAGAGCTGGCTTGCCTGCGTCTTTCCACAGGCTGACAAGGTTGGGGATGGGTCAGTGAACCATGGTCATGCTTTGCCAGCTGACCCACAGATTAGGTCAAGCAGTCACCACATGAAACTCATTCAGCCTTATACACACACACATATATATATACACATGCTTTTCATATTCTTTTCCATTATGGTTTATCACAGTATATTGAACATAGTTCCCTGTGCTATACAGTAGGACCTTGTTGTTTATCCATTCTATATATCATAGTTTGCATCTGCTCATCCCAAATCATTCAGCCTCTAGCAAGGTATTTCTGGCTGTTGTTTGATGCATATTCATCCCTTAATTATTAAATGCTGCTTCAAGCAAAGTAGAGATTCTAATCCCAGTCTTCTCCTTGGCATGGGATACTAGGAGTAGTGAAGTTAAGGTACAAAAAAGTAGATTCAAAGTAGGACTCAGCCGCCTGCCGATGCAGGAGACGCGGGTTCGTGCCCCGTTTCGGGAAGATCCCACATGCCGCGGAGCGGCTGGGCCCGTGAGCCATGGCCGCTGAGCCTGCGCGTCCGGAGCCTGTGCTCCGCAAATGGGAGAGGCCACAACAGTGAGAGGCCCGCATAACGCAAGAAAAAAAAAAAAAAAAAAGTAGGACTCAGATGACTAATTTGAGCTAGCATAACCAAAATGGGTCTGAAAGACTCGATGTTCTACTAGTGTTTATAAATCTGTGACTTCCCTCCACCTCTCCAACTTCCCAGAGGGTGTGAGCAGTGGCACACAACATATCCACAGGGGATGTGTGAACTTGGTCTCTTGCCAAACTCTTAGGTGCAGAGCGAGTGGAATCAGCATGAAGCAGCACTACGCAGCCTTGGGTTGTAGGAGGATGTGAAGAATGGGTGAGAGAGGAGTTTTCTCTGAAGAAAAGACATCTCTGCAAATTATGACTCAGATATTATCATATATAAAGACTGAGAGAGATTAGGAGTCTTGCATATAGTCCATAGGCTAGAGACATTGTCTCAGAGCTTCTTAAAATCCTTGACCCTATAGGAGAGGGGTGAGGACATTGCTAACTGCTCAGAGAGAAAGGATGGAAAGGATGATTCAATATATTAAAAATAGGCAGACTTCCTCTGTCTGACTCTCAAAGAGAACCACGGTAGAAGGACGTTGAGACTCGATCGAGAGTGAAAAGATTTAGATATAGCTGTCGTTATTGGCTGTTTCATAGAGATCCTTATGAGGATAATTGTGAGAAAATTACGACAATAAATATTACAGAAATTATGACACACAGTTGGATGGGCCATAAACCTTCTTGCACAAATTTTTCTTGCTCGTAACTTTAGGATCATTATGAAGCAGCTTGGAAAAGATTGTGTACCAATATTTTGATAACCTGTATTTTAAGTTCTGTGATGTCTCTTTTCTTGCATCTCTTTTCTACCTTAATGCAGGTAACTTATAAGGAATCTATGTAGCTTGCATTTGAATGGCCTGAATATACTTTAGTTCCACTTTGATTTGACACAAAGAAGCACTAATAGGTCTCAGGTATTGCCTGTTTTATGAGCCTGAAGTCCACTCTAAGAAGAAACCCAATATCAAGAATTTGAAACAAATTAACTTGTGTGGAAGGAATGTAAAGAAAACATTGGGTGGCTTGGCCAGAGCATTGTTAGAACAGCGTGCTGAATTGTAAAAAAAAATTTTGATGTTCTGTTTCAACCTTCAGTAGCAAATAAATGTGTGTATAGAGAATCTTAAAAAAAATTCCTTGGCCAATACTGAAGGGAAGTCACACAGGCTTCTTGGGCTTCATGAGTCTCTGTTTAACAGCAGGTGGAGTGGAAAGAATGTGCAGCCTGCATCTAGAGTGGATGCTGCTTGGTATCCTTAGGAACATGACAAGGCCTCAGTTTCTCCTTCTGTTAATAAGGAATAAGAAACCCTTGTTTTTAAAATGGGGTTTCAGGGCATCTCAAATGGCATGTGTGCATATAATAGATACTGCTGAAGGAGTAATAGGATTTGAAAACTTCCATATGGTACAGAGTGCTTTTTTTGTTACAGATGGGGAACAAAGACATGGAAAAAATGGGGACTAGCTCAGATGTGCTGTGTGAGTGTCAATTCCAGAAAACCTCACTCCATCCTGTTAGTCCTAGTCTCATTTCTAGAAGAATCGCACAGAATAAAGTCCTCCTGCCCTCCCTGTACTTGCCATTCTTCCCTTCCTTTCCCCAACATGTCCACATAAGTCGGCCCATAGTCCCACGTGTGCACCGCCCTGGGGCCTCTCTCATTTGGACCATACCACTTTTTAAAAAGTGGACAAAGCATCATTAACTCAGGAAAAGTGTCATCTCCAATATACCATCCTAGCTGCGAATAAATGACGTGTCTCTGTTACTGCTAATTTTCATCTGCAAGTGGTAAAACCCCAACTAATGTTTTTGTTAAGCTAGGTCTAACTAATCCTTTTCTGTCAACAACATTTTCCCATACCTGATACAAATTTCTTTTAATTTTGTAGTGCCATAAACCCTCCCTTTCTATTTGCTGCCTTAGTCATTATGGATGATAATATTTCAAGTTCTTCCTTCTCTCATAGCACACTTATTATATCTCTGAACACTTAATCCACAAAATAAATCTAATTTAAATAAAAGAAAATATATTCCCTCAAGAATTCGGTTTGCTAACATTTTGCTCCAAGTTAGCAGACTGAGTCACCAATCATAGGTAAGATTTACCTTAACGTGATTTAGTCATTTATAAAATTTCACTGACATAAGGAAATTCTATCAAAGTCATCGCAGAGTAAATTAACAGATGGGTCAATGCGCAAAGTTCAAGGCATAAGTCAAAAGAGAGAACAATTCAATTAAAATCACTTCCAGGTCAAAGCTGGCAGTGGGGCACAAATACCAGAACTACTCAAGAAAAGATGGGTTTTGTAATGATAGGGGTGGGGAGCGTCCTTACCTGTCTTCTGTTAGCTTCATTAGGGTTGTTCCTTGAGTAGAGAAGACAATAAAGGACATTCTTAGCTGTGGACTGGAAAGGAAAAGCAATTCTATTAGGGCAGAAAGAGAGACTGTGGAATGCCATTCCCTTCCAGGCTTCCCCCCTCTTCTCTTTATATTACGGCTGCCAGAGCTGCCAACCTTCAACCCAAAGGGCACCTTCACAGCTGGTGTTGCAAGTAGTCAGCCAGCAGCTGACTTGAAGCTGTGGACCAAAGAGAAGACCTACTTTGTCCTCCTGGAGTCTACTTCTGATCTGACCCCACTCAGTGAGTGTGGGTCACAAGTAAGAAAGCTAAGATTCATCACTTTCCTCTGCTCTGTCTGAAGTGTGCCCCTAGAAGACTGGTTTGCATGCTGTCTATACAAATCAGGATCCCAACAGACAACATTTGATAGTGCCTCCACTGCAGTCTGGTGTATCCTCTACTGACCAGGGTGTCTCAGGCAATGGCAGCTTGATGCCATTAGCCATTAAGATTATACAGTTCATTTTACTCTGAAAGTAGGATCACCATCAACTTCTAATTTCTATTTGGCTTCCCAAGGAGGTTACCCTATAAGGAAAGCATGTGCTGATGGGTCACAAGACTCTCTATTTTACTTGGTAGTTAAACTTCTCATGATTAATGAATACATCGGCATGGTTTTCATATGGCGGTACTTGGGAGCTTTGTCAATGTGAAATCCACACTCTGAGAGACAGACCACCTCTCAGCTGAGGACAAACATGTTTTTTGGTCTGCAAGATAGACTGTCAAGACTACAGTGGATTCACCAGTGGAATGCCATCCTTTGGGGCTCTAAGTAGCCAGATGGTTCACGCTTCATAGCATCAACCTATTTCTTCATGATACAGTAACCTCCCATACCTGACCTGGCCCCAAATCTTATATTTCCCACTTCCTAAAATGTTTCCCCAAACCTTCCCCCTTTTCCTGACAATAGTCATTGTTTCCTAGCTGGTGACCTTGCCTATCATCATTCCTTGCTCCAATTCATTCCTCACATTGCTTCCAGGATTACTTTCCTAAAATATAAATCAGATCTTGTCACTCATCTGCTATCAAACCTCCAATGGCTCCTAATGCATCCAAGATAAAGTCTACATCCATTACCGTATGTCTGATGCATCTTCGGAAACCCTTTAGCATGATGTGTAATACTTGGTAGGAGCCCAAGCGACACCTGGTGAATAGAAATTGGCCTTTTGAAAAAGACCTGGGTTCCCTGTCCATGGCAACATGCTGCCTTTTACTACCTCACTCGTGCTGGGCCAGGAGGACACCACATCAAAAATGATAATAAAAATCATAATTATCATGATAATATAATAATGGCCAACCCTTTCAAGTACTTACTATGTGCCAAGCACTACTGTAAGTGATTTGCATGTATTATTTCATTAAACTTGTAACAACTTTATGAGATCATTACTATTATTATTCCTATTTTCCACGAAAGGAGATTGAGACCCTGAAGGATAAAATAATTTTCCCAAAGTCACACAGTGGGAGAGTGGTAGACCTAGGGCTTAAAACCAAGCATTCTGATTCTAGAACTTGGGCTCTTAACCACTATGTTATACTGTCTCCCTTATACAGAGTTAAGCTCTGGAAAGAATGAATTTGAAATGCAGGAAATGTAGGTCTCCAAGGGGTAATTGGTATATGAATCTGGGCTGCAGACATAATTTGGGAGTTCTCAGCATACTGATGTGAGTAAAATTGTTCAGAGTGTCAGCAGGGAGAAGGGAAGGGAGCCAAACCAGAACCAAAACCAACATTTAAAGGCCTGGCTCCGGGCAGGGGATGAAAGGAAAGCCAGAAGCCAGTGGAGGAGAGAATTTTAAGGAGAGATAAATCTGAATGCAATGAAACTCCTCTATCCAGCAGAACAAGCACTGCATGGCTCTCAATGGATTTGTCCTCTAGGGCATCACTTAGGGAATTTGGTGAGAGCAAGCAGGTCGAGGGTGGGGATGAAGGCCAGATGGGAGTGGGTTAAGGAATGAATGAGAAGTAAGGATATGGAGATGGTGAGTCTTTAAAGATATCTGAGTGAGAAACTGGTAAAGAATTAAGGTAGCATCCATAGGAAGACATGATCAGGAAATTCATTGTTTTTTTTTTTTTTTTTTTTTTTTTTTTTTTTTTCAGATGAGGTTATGTCTATTGATAGTGGAAATGGAGCCAGAGGAAAGGTAGAGAAAAATACAAGAGAGAAACAAAGACCTGGGGGATATTGGAGACAATGGGATAAAATGGACTAAAATGGAAGGACAGGCTTTAAATAGGAGGGATACTTGAATCTCAGAGACGATGGGAAGGGCATGCATCCATCTTTTAAGAGGAGGATTGGAATAGGAGGTAATCCCTTGCTTGCTGTTCTCTGGGCTTTTGGTGAAATAGGAGGCGAAGTTCTTTGCTGAGAGTGATGGGTGTGAGGTTCAGGTTGGGGGCTTCAAGAAAAAGGTGAAAAGTTATATTACTGATTGAGCAGGTATCGTGTGTCAGGCGCTACTATCGGCCCTGGGGCTGAAGCAGGCAACAAAAGACAGACCCTTCTCTTGGAGTTTGTGTGGCAGTAGTGTCTTGGTGCCACACTTTGAGGAGGGTCCATAGCCAAAGAGGGCCAGAGGAGACAATTAAAGGAAAGTGCCTCGTGGTCTAGATTAAGCCATGTCAACTACTCTGGTCCTTAGTTTCTTTGTCTATAAAACGATGAGGACTGGATTAAGTGCTCTCTCAGTTCCCCCAACTCCTACCTCTAACGTCTTTGAATCTAAAATAGCAAAGTGTCTGGAGTTACTGAAGGAACTGGGGAAGAGAAGTGTCACATGCTCACTCTTAGCCAGGTGCTGGGCTAGTTGCTTTGCACACTTAGCCAGGTGCTGGGCTAGTTGCTTTGCATGCGTTTTCTTGTATAATTTTCACATGCAAACTAGGGTTCAACCAAGGTAAGTAAATTTCTATGGTTGCCCAATGGAGCTTGGATGAAAATCCACATCTGCCTAACTTCAAAGCCTTTTCTAGGAGACTCCTCTGCTTTAGAGGGAACAGAAAACCATTAGAGGAAAGAGAGACATAGCAGATACTCTCAAGTGTCTGGAGGCAGATTTGTTTTATATCACTCCAGATGGATGAGAGTGTAGGAAAGGACATTATGGGTCAATGACAAAAAAGACTCTTATGGAAACTGGAATTATCCAACTATTGGGTTGTTTGCCTCAAAAGGCAGCAGTTTCTCACCAGAGCTATTCAAGTTGGGGGTTAGTGAATGCCTCGGAGGATAGCTTGGGAAGCTGTTCCTTTCAGTTCTAAGCTTGTACAATTCTCTTAACTTTGCTTTTAATACCATCCATGTATTTGCTTCTCTTCTTTTCCTCTACTTTTCCCACCTGTCTCCTCCCAGCCTCTGCTTTCTCCCTTCATCTGGGTGTAGATGCTTCCTGCTGTAGTTTCCAATTTTGGGCATAATGGAGAGGACACCTTTTAACCCCCTCCCTCCAATCAAGTGGTGGGTACATGTTGAGACCAGTAAGTGAATTTGCAGGGAACACATCTGTCATGATCCTGGTCTCAGAGGACAACTTGTCTTCTGAGATTAAAAAAAAAAACCATATTCAAAGAGGAAGTATATGGTTACTCACATCAGCTGGAAGACTCTCCAGAGACCATCAAGCAGGGTTGGAGCTGCTTTCAAATTTACAATGATCAGAACAATTTCACCAAAGACCTTGACAACTGGCTTCAAGCATATCTGTTAATGCTATCACAGTTGTGTTGTCCTTTGGAGGTTGCACACAAGGAGGGTGAAATGACCTCCTTTCTTTTACTAGTGGGTGTCTATACTTATTGGAAAGTAGGACCTCCAAGGCCCCTGCAATGTGTATAGTGACATTGTTCAAACTGCATTGTCCTTCCTTGGAAAGTGGTGTCAAGAATGCTCAGAGGATTCTACCTGATAAGGCATATAGCCAGGCTGGCCAACCATGGCAGTTTGCCTAGGACTGAGGAGAGTTCCCAATATGTGAAACTTTCAGTGCCAAAACCAGGAAAGTCCTGGGCAAACTGGGATGAGTTGGTTACCTTACACCCTACAGCCTCTACACATGGGTCCAGCCAGAATGAGCCAATTGCCCCAGCATGATGCACCGTGAAAGAAAATGTTAACGATCCTTCTAGAAGGATATTATTTGACAAGAGAGGGAGAAAGTTAAAATATTGGTCTTATAACCTAATCAGGGTCCTCTTGAAAACACGAATCCAGAAGTTATTCTAATATGTGGCAAAGATGAAAACAAAGTCAAGTCTCCGTTATAAGGTCTGAGAGTCTACCCTTGTCAAAAAGCATCCCCAAAGTGGTTAGTAATTAGTAGAATAGCAAACAGGCTGGTTTTACTCATGACAGAGAACTACTCATTATGTTTCTCACCTGATGAATTTATGAGCCAACTGTTCCACGAAGTAATAGATTTCATTCCAGTGGTGCAGCACACTTCCTGATCTAGGAAAATAAAACAGATGTTACTTAATCAGGTGTTCATTTGTCTTTACCTTGTGTCATATAGTCTATTATTTTACTTTTGACCTATCCTCTAACTGGGCTTATTATCTGAAATTTCCATAACTTTGGAAATTATTTAAAAGGATGCTTTATGTTAGAATTCTGAGAAATTTTGGTAAAGAACTTCCTTCACTCCTTCCCACACCATTCCACACACTCATATGCTAAAAACAAAACAAAACAAAACAAAACAAAAAACCCTGGGCCCAACCAGATTCACAGTTTAGTTTCAAATCTTTAAGAAACAGTTATTTTTGTGCTCTTTAAATGATTGCTCTGATTACAGAAGAAAAATGATTCCAATTCATTTAAATGAAATTAGCACAAACTAGATGCCCAAATAGACAAAGATAAACAAATCCCCCTCCTCAAAAAAGAAGAGTCCAAATTCATTGGTAAATATAGATTCAAAAATCTGTAAATAAAATATTAGCAAAATGAATCCAGCAGGAACCCAAAAGAATACTAATTAATTAATTGGCATTTATTTCAGGAATGTATTGATAGTTCAACATTTAAGGATATCTAATGTAACTAGTCATACTAATAAACAAAAGAAGAAACATGATACAGCCTTTTTTTAATAAAAAGGGGGAAACTTTACTGAAAAAAGAGGTAAACTTTCTCTAAGACAGATGGGATCATAGCATTTTGGATTTGGAAGGGGGCTTCTTTATTTCCCCAAGGTTGACTTCTGTTCCACTGATACGACTTACTACTGCTTCAGTTCAGCTTCTAAGGGTTTTTCATAGTGCTCGTACTTCCGTCTGTTGCATTGACTTCATAGTAGGTTTTTCTATTCTAACCCACTCTTCTGTAGCTTTGATGTTCTTTCCTTTCACTTAAGGATCTGTTTCAGCTGAGCCTTGCACCTCTGCCTGTCATCCTAATAATTCCTGAGGTTAGAGTTTGCTCCTTTGACTCTGACATTTTGTACTGCAAACATTTTCCACTGTTTTCAGATTACTTTTATTTTTTATGCACTCATTTATCTTAATTTTAACTTCTAGAGAGTTATTATTATTTTGTTCTTGTTTCAGACTATTTTATAGATATTTAAGATGAATTCGGGCAAAGTAGATTTTAGGCCTTCCTTTTCATGATGCAATATCTTTAGGAATTCTCATTCTGGTTGAGTGTATTCCATCTCTATGAGGAAAATTTATTTTCTTCTGCCCCATATCCAGAAATATGTCTGTCTGACCTGAGCAGAAGTGATACAATATGTTATGGTCATGTGCTGAAAGATTCCATATCATAAGGATATCTCATGTTCCTCAAGTTAATCTATAACTTCAATTCTAGGAAAAATTCTGAAAGGAAGTTTTGTTAAACTCAAAAACTGACTCCAAAAATGAAATGAAGATTACAGTTCTAAAAGTAATCAAGGCAATAATGAAAAAGAACAAAGTTGGAAAGTTTGCCCTATCACATATAATGGCCCTATGTGTATGATATAGAACAGTAGAAGGAATGGAGTAAAATGGAGAACCCACACCTCAATGTATGTGAGGTGTCTCTATACAGTGAAAGCGGTGCTTCAAACTGGGGAGGGAGAATGAACCCTTCCATGAGTGATGCTGTGACAAGGGATTTGTAGCTGGAAACAGCCAATCAGATCACTATCTCATACCAAATGTCACCCTGGATGTATTAAAACCTAATGGGAAAAACACAACTTTCAATCCATTGAGTGAATTATAGAAGGAGATTTTTATGTCATCATGTTAGTGAAGGGTTTCTTCAACCAGATACAAAAAGTAGGAATTGTTTTTTAAGAAAAGAATAATTTTGACTATCTGAAGGGTCTAAAATTCTGGGTGACAAAAGATACCATAAACAAAGACAAGAAGAGAGTGAGAGGGACTTCCCTGGTGGCCCAGTGGTTAAGAATCCGCCTTCCAGTATGGGGGATGCGGGTTCGATCCCTCATGGGGGAACTAACATCCCACATGCCGTGGGGCAACTGAGCCTCTCTAGTGCACTGCCACTAGAGAGAAGCCCGCGCAGCCACAATGAAAGATCCTGCATGCCGCAGCTAAGACCCGACACAGCCAAATAAAACAAAAATTAAAAAAAGAAAAAGAAAAGGAGTGAGAGAAGACGTCCGCAACAAATAAAAAAGGCAAAAGATTACTGTCCAGGATATGTAGATAGGTGGTACAAGTAAATATTAATAAGGCAAACAATAGAAAAATAGGCAAAGGATCAGAACAGGCAATCCTCTGAAGGATGGTAAGTCAGCATTTGAAAAAACATTCAACTCTTCTGATAAATATAGAAATGCTTTTTGAAACAATTGTTTGGGGAAGAGCAAGCAGTTTCAGAGGGCAGCAGCATAAAGCCCACAGGGTAGAGGGGTGAGGAGTTGGGGAGATGGGGAAAGGGATCAGAGAGAGAAGGGGGCAGGGGCTCTTTTATAAAAAATAAACCTTTTCCAATAAACTTTTCTATTCCAGTTTCTCAGCCTTTATACATTCCATCTGCTTGGGACACACAATGTCCACACTGGCAAACTCCTACTCATTCTGTAAGACGCAACTTGGTCTCTGCCTGTTGCCTTTGACCAACACAGATGGGGCTCATTGCTCCTGCCCCAGGCTCTCAGGGCACCGTGTACATCTCTCAGTCACCATCCTCTGATACTGGGTTGCAATCACTTTTTTTTGCTCCCCTTGTGAGGGTCTTAAGGATATTTGCCTCTCCAGGATCTACCTGTTTGTTGGATAGAAGGAAAGAAGAGCGTGGGGAGACGTCTCTATTGCTCATGGATGCCTCCTGATCTTTTGCCAGCTGGACAGCACCTCTTCCGGTCTTGTTTGGATGAACGGCCTGGGCCTGAGGCTCAGACGGCTCCAGCCAATTCCTGTGATCCTATGTGAACCCGAAGAACCTTCCCAGATGGGTCAAGGATTCTAGAGCACAGCTCCTTGGTGAACGGGCCTACCTAATCATCAACAGTAGACGTCTGAGCTTAATGCGAGCTGGGGGTCTCCCAAAAGCTCACCAGAACAGCATATCCCAGCCCTGCGCTTTTAAAGCTTTGGAAAGCCTTTTATTAGAATCCCAGCCATCCTCCTGGACAAGCTTCCGTTGTATATTTCAAATCTCAGAGACTGGTCCTGGCTCCTCTTCTTCAGCTATGGGGTAGATGCTCTGGTGCTGGGGATCCTAGTGAGGGTCTGGCAGATCTGGCCCAATGCTGTATATGTGCTTCAGACGAGGCACTATGTGACTGCTACTCCAGTTATAACTCTACAACTCCTTTCCACTGGAATCAAGAGATTTCCTTGAACACTGATTGTCTGTGCCCACTTCTGAAATACAATTCTGTGTTTTGGTCCATATCACCCAAACAAATACTATCTGAAATTTTGGTTCCTGAGGGGTAGGGTAAGACACCTATGATTAGGGAGGAATCCCCACAGCTCGTCTATTCCATGTTTGATTTTCTCATCGGTAGAGAAGTCCTGTAGTGTGGGAATTAAACTGGGAGGGGAGGCAAAGTATAGGTGAAACAGGGACTTGAACTAGAATTGGGGGGTCTGTTTTTGGCTGTCTGCTAAAGGAGCAGGGGTTTTGAGTAAATCCTTTTTGAGTTTATTTCTTTGTTTTCAAGGATTGGCCACAAATCATTTGCGTTCCTTTATTTATTAAAAAGGGTCACCCAATGTTAATTTACATTTTCTTTTGGCTTAAAACATTTCATTTTCACTATTCTTCTGTCTGACTGACATGTAAAATTTAGACAATATTGGTATTCATCTGATTTCTTGATGCTAGATATAGGGAAAG